CATATATACAACAAAATTTCTCATAACTGGACCAATAAGCAGCATCATTATAAATGGAGAAAAGATTGAAGTTAACAAATATTTCATTTTACTTGGATCCACAATCAACATCCATGGGAGCAGCAGTCAAGAAATCAGATGTATTGGACTGGGCAAGTTTGCTGCAAAAGACCTCTTTAAAGTGCTGAAGAACAAAGATGCCAGTTTGAAGACTAAGGAGCGCCTGACTCAAGCCATGGTATTTTCAATGGTCTCATATGCATGTGAAAGCTGGACAATGAATAATGAAGACCAAAGAAGAGTTGATGCCTTTGAATTGTGGTGTTGGCAAAGAATATTGCAAATGCATGGGCTGCTAGAAAAATGAACAAATTTGTCCTGGAAGAAGTGCTTCTGGAATGCTCTTTACAAGTGAGAATGGCCAGACTTCATCTCATCTACTTTGGTCAAGTTGTCAGAAGAGAATATTCCCTAGAGAAGGATATTATGCTTGGTAAAATGGAAGGTCAGCCACACAGTGGCTGCGATGATGGTCTCAAGTATAGCAGGGATTGTGAGGATGGCACAGCACTTGGTAAATGTTTATTAGAATCATAGCATTCCAAATCAGGAAGGAGCCTTACACTTAAACTAATCTAGTCAGTCCTTCACTAATGTACATAAAAACCACCTGGGGTCTTTATTTAAAATAAAGATTACCATGTCTTCTACTTCCATAGAGATACTGCCTCAGCAACCCAAGGAGGGGTCACTATTAATAGGAATCGAGTAGATGGCACTGAGTACCCCGATATAGATCTGGTTTGAGTAGGTAAGGGGTGAGCCTCAGGAATAAGGATTTTAACATACTCCCTAAATTCTGATGGAGGTAATACATAGAACCACTGTCTATTTTAACCCCCTCCTCATATGATATTCTCACCTAGAGAATTTGTGCTGGTGGTATAGTGCCTGAGGCACTTGACTGCTAACCAGAAGGCTGGCGATTCAAAACCACCAGCCACTCCTCGGAAGGAAGGTTGGGCAATCTACTTCCGTAGTGATATCACCTCGAAACCCAAGGAGGGGTCGCTGTGAGTGGGATCTGACTCGTCGGCAGCGCATAGAGAATTTGTGAGACTTGTCTAAAGTCATGAAAAACATTCATGGTGAAGCTGGAATACAAGTAAAATAAAATGACAATGTTTTACCACCACATTGCCAGCTTTAAGTTTAGTATGTATTATTAACAGTTGATAATGAGCTGTAATTTTGTAATGTACCTTTGTTGAGCTTAGAGAAGACAATATCCTTGACTATGCCTTCTTTCGGGAGCTCTGGTAGCATAGTGCCTAAGGCACTTGACTGCTAACCAGAAGGCTGGCAGTTCAAACCCACCAGCCACTCCTGGGAAGGAAGATGGGCCATCTACTTCCATAGTGATGCTGCCTCGGAAACCCAAGGAGGGGTCACTATGAGTCGGGTCCGACTCGACAGCACATAACAACAATAACATCAACATGCCTTCTTTCAGTTTCTTCCTTAGGTTCCTGCTCACTTAAGGCAACAAGTCTATAGGCCAACTGGCAATCTCAAAATAAGCTTACCCTATGTATTGGACTTTTAGGGATTTCTCATTGTGTATCCACCAGAGTAGAGAACTGCCCTACATCCATTCAAATTCAGTGGTGAGCACACATCCATTGTCTAAGAGAGTTCTTCCCTAGAGAGGACTGTCTAGGATAGAGGGTGAGATGCTTACGAACTAAACGTGGTGGTGGCAATTTCAGATAGCCAAGCAGTTCCCCACACTGCACTGCACAGACTTGTCATCACTGGTAGTCAAGTCAACTTTACATAACACCCTTTCCAACACTTTTAATTTTTAATCAAAGACTTTCTTTCTTTCACGATGGCATTTTACCCAAAGCCAAAAACAATCACAATGATACCAGCTTCACACACTTGTTGCTGCTCTCAGTGATTTGATGAGTCAAACCCTGCAATCCTAGTCACAAAATATTGGGGAGTATAGGAGTCTGAAAGGAGTCTGGTGGTGCAGTGGTTAAAGTTCTGCACTAAACTATGCCAGTATGTGGCTTATACCAATGTCAATTTTCTGGGTTTGGTCATATATTATAATTACACAATATGTTATCACTGGGGAAACTGAGTGAAGGATACATTGGAACTCTCTGTACTATTTCTGGAACTTCTTATAAATCTAAAATTATTTCAAACTAAAAAGTTTTTCTTAAAACGAAGGGATAGTATAGGAATGGGAGAAACAAAAGAGAAGACAAAGTTAGTTCTGCACTAAACTAAAGTTCTAAACTAACTGAGGTGGGTGATTTAAACCCACCATCCACTCCATGGGAGAAAGATGTGGCAGTCTGCTTCTGTAAAGATTACAGCCTTGGAAACCATGGAGCAGTCGTACTGTGTTATATACAGACAAAAACGAAACCCAGTGCTGTGGAGTCGGATCTGACTCATAGCTACCCCTCCTTGGGTTTCCGAGGTGGTATCACTACAGAAGTAGATTGCCCAATCTTCCTTCCAAGGTGGTGCTGGTGGGTTTGAACCGCCAGCCTTCTGGTTAGCAGTCAAATGCCTTAGGTGCTATGCTACCAGAGCTCCTTATATACAGACAGTCCTCAACTAATGACAGAGTTCCCTTATGATAACTCTGTTGTAAGTCAGTTCTGATATAAAGTGAATATCTTTATTATTATTATTATTGCTATTGTCTTTCATTATCAATATCTTTATAAATCCAATTTTTATTTGTCTTTGGGGGTTGGAAACATTACATACAAATATTTAAAATGATACCATCAGCCAATTACATGCTGCAACATTGTATATTGTATATATTACCAACGATAAGATATATAAAAATAAACAGTTCTAAGTGTGGTTCATCCTAACTTGAATATGTTGTAAGTCATTGACTACCTGACTTTTGGAATGGGCTCCAAAGCACACAATAACAGCATAGGAGCTTGGGTGGTGCAAATGGTCTACAATTTGCTGCTAACCAAAAGGTTGGAGATCCCAACCTACAAGTAGCTCCATGGAAGAAAATCCTGGGGAACTGCTACGGTAAAGATTACAGCCAAGAAAACTCTATGGAACAGTTTTACTAGGTAACTAATGGGGTCTGGTAGCATAGTGGCTAAGACACTTGCCTGCTAACCAGACGGCTGGCGGTTCAAACCCACCAGCCACTCCTCGGAAGGAAGGTTGGGCAATCCTACTTCCGTAGTGATACTGCCTCGGAAACCCAAGGAGGGGTCGCTATGAGTCGGGTTTGACTCGACGGCACATAACAACAACAACAACAATGGGGTCCCCATGAGTCAGAATCGACTCCACAGCAGTAGGTTTTTTCTAGCTTGTCTGGTATTGAATAAGATACCATGTACTTTGAAAGATATACACAAGTATGTTCCTCTCTACAGAAAGCTGATACTCTAGTTGAGGATGTGAGACTTCCACGCATAAAAACCTAACTTTAAATTAAAAGAACAAAAGGGCAAATGAGTTTACAAAACTATAATCATTCTATTTTACTTGATAATAAATTATACTTACTTATTTCATAGTTAAATTAATACAGCTAGAACTAAATCATCACCTCAAAGCCCATGACTAAATTACCAGTATGTGGCTTATACCACTGTCAGTTTCCTGGGTTTGATCATAAATTATAATTACACAATATGTTATCATTGGGGAAGCTGAGGGAAGGATACATTGGAACTCTCTGTACTATTTCTGGAACTTCTTATAAATCTAAAGTTATTTCAAACTAAAAAGTTTTTCTTAAAATGAAGGGATAGTATAGGAATGAGAGAAACAAAACAGAAGACAAAGAAGGAGAAGAATATAAATAAATATAGTTTAAAATAGAAAATATATATAAATATAAAGTCACAGATTAAAAATAAATGAATGAAAAAATATATACTATGCAAATAGTATACATAAGAAGGCTGGAGGATATTAATATCACCCTGGGTATAAGAAAGTAGACTTCATGACAAAGAGTATTACCAGAGTTAAAGGGACATTTCAAAATGATAAAAATGCCAATTCATCCAGAGGGCATAACAATCATAACTGTATATGCATCTAATAGCACAACATCAAAAAATACATGCAGTAAAAATTGATAGAATTAAGGAGATTAATAGACAAATATGCCATGATAGCTGGAAATTTTAATACTCCTCTTTCAGCAATTGAGAGAACCAGACAAAAATACTTACTGGTAAGGACAGAAGACCTGGATAACACTAACAACCACTTTGACCTTACTGATATTTTCAGAACCTTACACCCAAGCAATGCAGAATACACATTCTTTTCAAGTGCAAAAATTTTTTGTCATCTCCCCCCCACACTGAATAGACCAAATGTTGGGTCATAAACCAAAAAACCAAACTCACTGCCATTGAATCAATTCGGACTCACAGTGACCCTCATTGGGTTTCTGAGGCGGTAAATCTTTACGAAAGTAGATTGCCCATCTTCCTTCTGTGGAGCAACTGGTGGGTTTGAACCACCAACCTCTGGCAAGCAGTCAAATGCCTTAGGCACCATGCCACCAGAGCTCCTTGGGCCATACAGCAAGACTTAATTAATTTAAAATAAAAAAATTCAGCCATCCCCACGTGCATCCATCCTCCAGCAATAACTGATATTGTCCATACAGTATTGGTAAAAGGAAAGGACATGTTTCCCAAGCTAGTTGCTTTTTGAAATCTCTTCTACTCAGAACCCACCAAATCAAACCTAACCTACTGTCATCAAGTTGATTCTCACCCTATAGGACAGAGTAGAACCCCACAGGATTTCCAAGGCTGTGAATCTTTATGGAAGCAACTGGTGAGTTCAAACTGCCATCCTTTTGGATAGCAGCCAGATGTTTTTCAGGGAACTTGAAAAAGAGAAAACTTTGGTGGTCATCTCCAACTCTGCATGGTCTGCTACTTTTAGACCAATCCATACTATACCTGAGTAGTGTTGAAAAGGCAGAATAAGTAGCTGAAGATGATACTGATGTTCTCATTTCCAATTAGCATGAAGTATGCCAAAAACCAGGTAATTCCAAAAACCACTGCAACAGATAAGGTGCTAAAAATCTTCTTCATGGATGAAACCTTTTTTGTGCTAGATAAGAGAAACCAAGAAAGAAAATATGATTCATTCAGATTTTTACTTATGAATATTATTGTTACCCTTTTACTTAGAATGCATAGTCAACTGTCCATGTACATTTTTCATGTAACAATACTAAGACAAAATTAAGTCACTCTGAAGAAAATCTGATTTTGCTAGCTTTATGAAAAAATATATAATGATACAACAATAATAAAAAGGAAAAAAAAACAAATTAACAAAAATATATTGATATCTGCTTAAAAGTTCAGGCATGAAGTTTCCACATTGTGTAGAATCATCTTTCTTTGGAATGAGCACAAATATGGATCTCTTCCAGTCAGTTGGCCAGGTAGCTCTCTTCCAAATTACTTGGCCTAGAAGAGTAAATGCCTTCAGCCCAGCATCTGTTTATTGACACATTTCAGTAGGTATCCTGTCAATTTCTGGAAACTTGTTTTACCTAACTCCTTCAACACAGCTCAGACTTCCTCCTTCAGTACCATTTGTTCTTGATCATATGCCACCTCCTGAAATAGTTGAACATCGACCAATTCTTTTTGGTTACGATGACTTCATGTATTCCTTCTGTCTTTTTTTGATGCTTCCTGTATCATTCAATATTTTGCCCATAGAATCCTTCAATAATACTTTAGAGGGTTGAATTTTCTCTTCAGTTCTCTCAGCTTGAGAAATGCTGAGCATATTCATCCCTTTTGGTTTTCTAATTCCAAGTCTTTAGACATTTCATCATAATAACTGACTGTCTTCTTAAGCTGTTCTTGGAAATCGATGGTTCAGCTCTTTTATCCTGTCACTTTTTTCATTCACTTTGTGTTGTTGTTGTTGTTGTTATTTGCCATCAAGTCGGACCCGACTCATAGCGACCCCTCCTTGGGTTTCTGAGGCAGTATCACTACAGAAGTAGATTGCCCAACCTTCCTTCTGAGGAGTGGCTGGTGGGTTTGAATCACCAACCTTCTAGTTAGCAGTCAAGTGCCTTAGGTACTACACTACTGTCCATTCAAGAGCAAGTTTCAGAGTCTCTTCTGACATCCATTTTGGTCATCTCTTCCTTTCCTGACTTTTCAATGATCTTTTGCTTTCTTCACATATGATGTTCTTCATGTAATCCCACAACTCATCTGGTTTTCGGTTATTGGTTTTCAGTGTGTCAAATCTATTCTTCAAATGATCTCTAAACTTAGGTGGGATATAACTGAAGTCATATTTTGGCTCTTGTGAACTTTGTTTTAATTGTCTTCAGCTTCAACTTGAACTTCCATATGCGCAATTGATGTCTGTTCCACAGTCAGCTCTTGGCCTTTTTTGGCTGAAGATATTGGTTGTCTTCATCATCTTTTTCTACAGATGCTGTCAGTTTGACTCCTGTGTTTTCCGTCTGGCAAGGTCTATGTATATAGCCACTGTTGATGTTGAAAAGGGGTATTTGCAATGAATAAGTTATTGGTCTTGCAAAATTCTATCATGCAATCTCTGGCATCATTTCTATCACCAAGGCCATATTTTCTAACTACTGGGGATTCTTCTTTGTTTCCAGCTTTTGCATTCCAATCACCAGTAATAATCTTGGTTACATGTTTGGTCTATTTCAGATTGTAGAAGTTAGCAAAAGACTTCAATTTCTTCATCTTTGGCTATAGTAGTTGGTGTGTAAATTTGAATAATGGTAGTATTAACTGGCCTTCCTTGTAGGTGTATGGCTATTATCCTATCACTGACAGCATTGTACTTCAGGACAGATTTTGAAATATTCCTTGATGAATGCAATACCATTCCTTTTTAATTTGTTCTTCCAGCATAGTACACCATATGATTGTCTGATTCAAAATTGCCCAAACCAGTCCGTTTGAGCTCAGAAATGCCTAGGATATTGTTAGTTATGTGTTCCATTTCATTTTTGACAAATTCCAATTTTCCTATATTTATACTTTGTACATTGCATGTTCCAACTGTTAAAGGATGTATGAGGTCTGGTGGCATAGTGGATAAGGCACTTGACTGCTAATAGGAAAGTCAGTGGTTCAAAGGAAGATGGGGTGATCTACTTCCGTAAAGATGTACAACCTTGGAAACCCAATGGGGGTTGCTATGAGTCAGAAGCAACTCAATGGCAGTGGCAGTGAGTTTGGTTTTTGGGCTATGCAGTTGTTTATTCCCATTTTGAGTTGTGCCTCATCAGCAGATGGAGATCCTGACAGCTTTACTCCATCCACATCATTATTGTTGATTCTACTTTGAGAAGGCTGTCCTTCCCTAGTCATATTTTGAGTGCTTTCCAACCTGAGGGGCTCATCTTCCAGCACTTTATCATACATGTTTCAGAACTATTAATAAGATTTTCCAGTAATATATCAGGAGCTCTGGTGGTGTAGTGCCTAAGGCATTTGACTGCTAACCAGAAAACTGGCGGTTCAAACCCACCAGCCACTCCTCAGAAGGAAGGTTGGGCAATCTACTTCTGTAGTGATACCACCTCAGAAATCCAAGGAGGGGTCATTATGAGTCAGATCTGACTCGATGGCAATGGTTTTTAGTAATATATCAGATATTGTCTCACCACTATTCACAAGGTTTTCAGTGGCTAATTATTTCAGAAGTGGATGACTCCATCCATTTTGCCAGTTTGTCTTAGTTTGGAAGCTCCGCTGAAACCTGTCCACCAGGGGTGACCCTGCAGGTATGTGAAATACCAGTGGCATAGCCTCCAGCCTTACAGCAACACAAAAGCCACATCATTGACAGATGAGTGGTGCATATAGTAGGCACTCAATTTCTTGAAAAAATGAAGAAATTTGCTCTACTATAATCTTTGTTGTAAATAAAGAGCACTGTCATTTTTCCAAAGATGGAACCTTTTAGAATTTCTTGGATAAATAAATATTTACTTCAAAAGTAAATGCTTTCATAAGAAAGGTAGAAAAATATTGAGGATGCCTGAAAGATCTGTGTTAGCTTGCTGCATCAGCTGCCACTATTTCAAAGGATGATGGAAACTTATCTTCTGAAATGTTAACATATCTGTAGAAGAGGCAGACGGGCATAATGCTCAAGAGAATGAAGTCTGGAGTTGTCAGCCTTGCTGAATCCTACCACACCTGTTACTAACTAGGTGGGCTTGAGCAAGTTATTAACCCATGTTGTGTCTATTTCCTCTTTCAAAAGATGCAGATGATAATAATAACACTTAGAATTTTTGCCAGACATAAATAAGATATACAACCTACATAGTCACATTTGTTGTTGTTGTTGTTATATGCCATTGAGTCGGCCCCGACTCATAGCGACCCCTTCTTGAGTTTCTGAGGCAGTATCACTACAGAAGTAGGATTGCCCA